AAAAATAAATCTTAGTTTATTTTACAGAAGAAGAGACAAAATTGACTAACTTATTTAATATAGCTTTGGAAGCGCGGTCTGAGAGAAATGTTTATGTCCAGGGAGTTGGTAACGAGGATTCATTACCTTAATTAGCTGCTTGAATCCTTCATTGTCGACCGTGTTTATTGGTAGCATATCTTTAGCAAGACAGTAAGCTATAGCATTCGTTATGTTGCCATGTCTCTTAGCTTTTTTGTCATATGGTAAGACGCCGGAGAAAATCGACTCAATTGACTGCTTTTCAGGGATTCCCCAGGTTGTTTTCGATGATGAATTAGTGCTTTCAGTCAGAGATTGAGCATGCTCTAGTGGGTGGCACTGCTTCAGGTTTGTTGTATTTCCAGACTTTGTGGGAACATGCTTTCGGCACAATTTACAGTGCGCGTTACTGTTTTTTGTCAGACTTGAAATAGCCGAAATACCTCCACACTATGGAACTTCTCTTGCCTTTCCTTTCGACAATCTCTCCGGCATCCGTCATCTGTGTTCTCTTCGGTAACCTTCAGTCACGCTCTCGGTTGATTTTTCTCTAGTCGGCACACTCATTTCCTCCATTACCCGGCCGCTGGCTGCTTCCCAAACAAATACACATGTGCAGCTTGGCACTTGAGCTGTACGTAACAAGTTAGGTGATGTGACGCTGCGGCTGTGATTGGTTCGGCTCTGCGCTGCTCAATTTGAATTGGCTATTCGTTTTTTTATAAGAGAGGAAGAGAGAGAGATGAGGTCTATCGCAATAGTTTCATTTTTCTATCGGGAAAAGTTATTTCGCAATACATATCGTTATCGTGGGCACCTCTAGTTTAAGCTAGTATAAAATCTGTGTTAAGAGCCTTTGATGTAGATCTTCCCAGCAGCTATGCTTGTGTGTCTGTGATGTGCTGCAATATGCAGCATAAACAGTAGAGGGTGGTTTGTGCTCTCTCTTGGAGTTCATCCATTCTCCTTGAGTCAATTAAAAGAGAAAATGGTGACATTAGAAGTAAGCAAAAATGCAAAGGTGGAAGCACTGGACTAATCACTGCTTTGAGGAGACGTAGGTCCATTTGATGATGATTTAATAAGACAGTGATTAGGTAGAACTTTATAATACAGCATATGGCTGTAATTCTCTGTGTGTTTTATCTGAAATTATGATTAAATTTTATTTACCTACAAACACAATTCAAATTTTTAAAGAATTAATTACAATGTAAGTTATTCGAAGTTGACCATATTTTCTGGTTTATTTACCAAAAAAGTAAAAAAAAAATCCCACTCCATACATATGAAAATAAGTGAAAAGAAGAAAATCCACTACTTTTTCATTTTTTTTGTTGTTTTCCTAAAGTCCTTTTGCTAGGAAAGGACAGTTTTGATGGTTGAAGAGTGTTTGAGTTGGCTCCATCATTATCACATGGGCCTTTGCCGTTTAGTGTTTCATGGCATTTGTGTATTTTTTTTGTAGGAAAGGGAGAAAAATCCTTCTCATATTGATAGGTTTGTAGAAAAAACCTATTCGCTGGAACGTTCAGTACAATTTGCCTACTCGTCTACATACAAACAAAGAGTACCTTGCCTGTGCGTTGTGTAAGTATGTGTGTGTGCGTGTGTGTGTGTGTGTGTGTGTGGGTTCAGAGTGTGACCCGATAAATTACTTCTCTAAACCTGCTGGTCTGGAAGTCCAGCAGTGCATCTAAACAAAAGGCACTTAGCCTAAAACAGACATAGATACGTTTATCCTACCATAAAACAATAATATAAGGTATGACCTCTCCCATGCTCCCAATGTGTGGGTGTGAATGCCAGAGCACTCTGGAATGCACACAACGTCTCTGCAGACTATCAAGGATCAAACCTCTACCAATATGACATTGATTATACAACTCTAAGCATATATGAGTAGATATTGCTAAGCATAAATGACAATCAACAATACAAATCTAACACATATGTTTTGTGATATAAAGGGCCATTTGAATAGTGATACACACCAACATAATAAGAAATCAAAAAGGCAAAGCGAATCCCCTTAATAATAAAGCCTGCATCTCTAAAATTACAGCATAGTGTAAATTACTTAAATATTGATACACTACTTAAAATTACTGTAATTATTTTTTTAATTCCAGTAAAACACGAATTGTTACCCCTTTATTATAACATACTGTATTTGCCAGGAAACATTTGTACATAAAAAGAATTTCATTGTAATTTCAGATGCATGTTGAATCATTGTATTTTACTATCACAGATTATGTTAGCTGGGGTACTTACAAGTGTGGCAACCATGTAAAAACCTGTGTATGTGTGTGCGTGCGTGTAGGTATGCTGCTGGCAGGTCTGCTGTTGCGTAATGTTCCTTACATAACGGACGCCATCTTCATCGACACTCACTGGTCTGCAGCTCTGAGGAACATCGCCTTGTCCATCATCCTGACCAGAGCTGGTCTGGGCCTCAACCCTGAGGTACGTGTACATTTAAATATCAGTCTAAGTTAAGTTGCACACAAAATCAAATGCAGTCTCTTAACTCTGTGTTTGCATGCAGGCTTTAAGTCGACTGAAAGCAGTGTGCGTACGTGTTGCAGTTGGACCCTGTATGGTGGAAGCCTGCATTGTCGCTGTGGTTTCTCACTTCCTGCTGGGTCTGCCATGGGTTTGGGGTTTCATACTGGGGTAAAGTACACACACACACACACACACACACACACACACACACACACACACACACACACACACAGGGATGGTAGTAACCAGACCGAAAAGCAGCGCACATTTCGGTGCTTTATTTCGGTGCTTTTTTTTCCTGAGCTGTGATACACTTCTAGCCAATCATTTTAC